GTGGGCGAGGGGGTCAGGTGGCAAGCCGGGGGGGGGGGGAACAACAGTGAGTCCGACGTCTGAGGAAACGTCCCTAAGCTTTAGCGTGGCGACTTTTGGTTTGTGCGGCGAGAGCTTTCCGAAGCGGAGAAGCCCGCCTCCAGGCAGGCGTCTTGGAGGAGAAAACAAGTCCCAGCGCCTTTGTTTTGCGAGCACTTCGGGTCTGAGGGAAATGCCTGACGTAACATAATTCACACGGTGCCTTTGAGCAACGTCTGGGCTTCTCAAGGGCGTTCAGAATCCTTGACCAAGGTGGTTCCATATCCAGGCAAAAAGGGGAAAAATAGTAATCTTAAAATGGGATTTCTGTTTCCTTGTGAACTTTCGGGGATCAGATCCACTTCTTCAGCCAAGACATTTCCAGACTGACTGCCATTGACGGGCACGAGTGGCACTGCCCTACGCCTTCTGTCCTTTACCACACAGTATGTGTGGGAGTGTGAGGTTGCCTTGGTGACACTTGTTGACGGTTAGCAGCTTCCACCTTAAGAGTTCTGTTCCTCTTGTGTCGTATGATAACTTGAGAGTTTAAATGGATCTTGAGGATCATCTAGTCCAGCCCCTGCCGATACAGGGAACCATAGCTGGTGTCCCTGAAAGATGGCCATCCCTTTTGTTTGAAAACCTCAAATGACAGTCCACTCACTGCCTTCACGTCCCTGCTGATGCAGGGAACCATAGCTGAAGTGTCCCTGAAAGATGGCCATCCCTTCTGTTTGAAAAGCTCAAATGACAGTCCACTCACTGCCTTCACAGGTGGTGCACTCCACTGCCCAATGGATCCTGCCATCAGGAAGTTATTGGGAATGTTCAGTTAAATCATTTTGGCAGTTGGGGTTTGCTTCAGGATTAGGCTTTATACTTGGGTGCTCCAGTGATGGCTGTAACCAGGAGAGTTTTGCCTAATGCTGCATCTGCGTCCCCAATTCAATGTGTTGTTGATGGCTTTTAACACCTTACCAGACAAACAAGATAAAAATTTTGAAATAAAATAATAATAAAATACTGTTCCAAGCCCTGTTCAAAAGGATGGGAGACCCTAGGTACCTGAGCAGTTCTCAGACAAGCCCATGTATAACTGTACAGTCATCTGATACCCTTTTATGAGTGGTCATACCATCTGAAGTGAAGTGGGCGGCATCTACAGAAAGGATTCTCTTGGCTGGGGCATCCAGCTTGGAGAGTTCTCTCCTAAGGGAGGCCTGTCCTGCACCTACCCTGATGTCTTGTAGGTACCAAACACTGTTATTCTCCTGGCTTTTAATGTCTATAAATATGAATTCTAACAGCTGCTGAAACTGTTTTAATGTACCTTTTAATCTGTTCCCTCATGGTTTATTGTTATTTTTAGTAAATTTTGTATTAATGGCTTTAGTGTACAATACTATGTACACTAACCTGGTCTTGCTGAGCACCCTTTTCCCCACATACTAGACAGCACAAATTCTCATCCATTCTCTCTCTGTCTGTTTGTATTGACACACACTTGGAGGTGCAACAGGCATTTTGGTTACAGAGAAATGGAACAGTCATAAATTAATTTTTAACTCACTTGGTCCCCCAAAGCCCCATTCATACCAAACTCAAACCAACCTCAAACCAACTGTAAGAATTTGGGGCAATCCTCAAAGTTTCCTGCTCTTGAGAAGATCCCTCTTCTTGAGAAACCCTCTTGAGAAGCCTCATGTCTGCCACCTAAATGAATGTGCTATTGTGAGTTTTAACTAAATCTGGCTAATTACTTGATTTGCTTTTAAGATAAAATAATCCACAGACATACGCCTTTAGTATCCATGTGAAGTCTAAGGTGACATAAGTTTGCAGTCTTGGAAACATCGCATAGACAAACACGAACACTTCTATTATTAACTTTTGTAATAAAAATAATTAACATGAAATGATCCTGTGAAATGGAAAAATAGATACGACTAAAGTGCAATTTGTGAGCTAGCTGTATATTAACTGAAATAGAAATGGCACTGAAGAGTGATAATTGGTCACGTTTCTCTACAACATTACTGTATATAAAATTGTGTTCTAAAGGTAGGGGAAATGAAATAATTGTAGGGATAAAAATAGGTCAGTCATAGATACACATTTAATCATGTTTAAGTCTGGTTTGCTTCATTAAGCAATTAACTTGTCTTAAAATTAAAATAGATCAAACAGAGTAGCTTCAAATCTACATATTTCTAGTGATATGATTGGATCAACTTGCATTAAAGTTCACTGTCCAACACTCTAGGGCAGGGGTGACCAATTTGTGGCCCTTGAATTGCCAAGTAGGCCTTGGCTTAATTTCAAAAGCCCTGTGCAAGCCAGCACTTCAGACCTTTGACAAGACTTAAAGTATCTGTCCCTTTCACTGGCAGTCATTGGGGTCAGGGAAAAGGAAGAAAAGTGACAGTAGGAAGAAAGCTCTATTCAGAGGTTACACAATCTGAAGGGAGTACCTACTCCCTCTGTTGTTACATTGCTCATACAGTGGACCCTCGACTTGCAGACGGCTCGACTTACAGTTGTGGCCCTTGGATTGCCAAGTAGGCCTTGGCCTAATTTCAAAAGCCCTGTGCAAGCTCGCACTTCAGACCTTTGACAAGACCTACAGTATCTGTCCCTTTCACTGGCAGTCATTGGGGTCAGGGAAAAGGAAGAAAAGTGACAGTAGGAAGAAAGCTCTATTCAGAGGTTACACAATCTGAAGGGAGTACCTACTCCCTCTGTTGTTTTGAGGGAGTAGGTACTCCCTTCAGATTTGAGATTACTCTGATTGAATGTAATTTTAAGGCAAGTTAACTGCTTAAAAGAGAATCGACTTACAGACCAGAAAAAAACCAAAATGGAATAAAAATAGAATAAAAACCACTGGTTATGGGATTAATCAGTTTTCAGTGCATTGTAGGTCAATGGAGATTCGACTTACAGACTTTTCGACTTGCAGCCACCATTCCAATATGGATTAATTCCTTAAGTAGAGGGTGTACTATATATAGATTTGAGATTACTCTGATTGATTGTAATTTTAAGGCAAGTTAACTGCTTAAAGTACAGAAGCAGTCTTAAATTATATGTGTACCTATGAGTGCCTAATATGATCATCACAAAGTCAGTGGGTATAGAGTTTCCTGTTTTTTGCACAGCACATGGCATTTTTCACTCTTCTCATACAATAACTGTTAAAACTATAAAAGTGTCATCCTCTTTAAATTCAGTCATCTTACCCCAGGCTGAAGTATCTGGCAAGGATCTGTGAATCTCTACTAGTAAACACTGTGTTTAAATCTTACTGACACAACTAAGTTTGAGCAAAATATGCCCAATAAATACAACTAATTCTAGCTGTATTCTAGAATTACCATTGCTAGTAAATCCCACACACAATAATATGTGCTCTATATGAAGTCAGCATGGTTAGAATTGCAATGTTAGGCTCCTCAGTAGTAGCCCAGTTAGGATCAGTAGCAAAGTTCTGAGCCTTCTAAGAAAATAACAGCTGTTTCTGATAAGGGAGGAGCAACATAGAGAGAACAGAAACAGGCAAGCATAACTATGTTGGTGTGATTAAAAAATTGTCAAAGGGAAGCAATTAATCTTTGTTAAAGATGTTCAAAATGGTCATGACAGCCATATGTACATGGAAATTTATTTTCTCGTTATTAATCCATCAGTACTCAATCAGGCAAACTTTCATTGCTTTGTATTTTCCCTATGGTACATTTATCTGGAAGTGAGAAACTGTCAGAAGATGGGAAAACCAGTATTAACATTCACAACGGCTTATTTTCCAGTTAAAAGGGTTTTTGGTCCTGCAATTCTGCATCTTGCTGCATTGAAGCCATAAGGATGTGTTATCCTTTCTGAATAGTGGTGAGAGCATAATAAATAGATGTTATAATGAAGAATAGATGTTATAATGAAGCACATTGGACTTGTTGTCCCCCCACAAGTGAACATGTCATGCTGACCCTTATTAAGAGGCTTCTTAACAGTGCAATCTTATGAAAGTCCTGTGGAATTCAGTGGGGTTATTCCATGGTAATTATGGATAGCAGTACAGCCTGAATCAGAGATGATGAACCTTTAGCACTCCAGATGTTTGGGGCTAGAGCTTCCACAGTCCTTTATCATTGGTAATATAGATTTAGATGTTATAATGAAGAATAGATGTTATAATGAAGAAAATAAATATTGTTGTCCCCCCACAAGTGAACATGTCATGCTGACCCTTATTAAGAGGCTTCTTAACAGTGCAATCTTATGAAAGTCCTGTGGAATTCAGTGGGGTTATTCCATGGTAATTATGGATAGCAGTACAGCCTGAATCAGAGATGATGAACCTTTAGCACTCCAGATGTTTGGGGCTAGAGCTTCCACAGTCCTTTATCATTGGTAATATAGATTGAAGATTCTGGAAGTGCAAAACATCTGGCGTGCTAACCACTCTTAACCTAAATCAACAATGGGTTTCTGAGAGTTGCAGTTCAAAAACATCTGAGTAACAAAGGTTAAGAACCACTGATGTAGATTGAAGATTCTGGGAGTTGTAGTGCAAAACATCTGGCATGCTAACCACTCTTAACCTAAATCAACAATAATTTGTTTGCAGTAAATAGATATAGGATTAAACTTTTAGCATTAAAACAATACTGATGTTGTTAAAGGATGGATTCTATGTCTCATAGGTGCAAACTGTTATTGTTGCACATTACTTGCAGCTGACATTCTTATACTGTGTTCTTATCTCCACATCTTTTGGTGCCAAGCCAGCCAGGGTTACTGAGGTTCCTTCCTGCCAGCTCTCTTGCTCTGCTTGCCTCTTTTTCTCTGCTCATAAACTGCTGTCCATCTCAACAGAAAAGGCACTGATTGACCCCATGCCCATATATAGTTGCCACTGCCAGCTTTGATAATC